AACCTAGGTTTGGGTCGGCTTTAAGTCTAATACGATACGACTAAACTTTGATTTCTACGGGGTGAGACTGCCATCAGACCTTCACAACCCAAGTACTAGGCGACATCGAAGTTAAATAAAAATACTGTTGTCGGACTTTAACCTTAAGCATAGGTTTAAAATTTAATAAGAATAGGGATAAAAATATTTTATAATAAACTTTGTTAGTTTTTAAAATTCGCTTGTAATCATTAACAGACCCTAATTTTTAATTTAACTGTAAGTTTTTTTTTTCTTTAGTTCTGTTGTCGGTACTTTAAATATTTAAAAATTTGTAAGTCATTTTTAACCTCTTAAAATTTGTAAATTAAAATTAATTAATTAATTAACTTTGGGGCGGGCGCACGGGCCTGTTGGTCTAGTGGTTAGTGACCCTGACTGCTAAACCGGAGGTCGTGGGTTCGATTCCCAACCAAGCCAAATATTGTGTGATGAGCATGGTCATTTGTTCTGTGTGTGGCTGTAATTTATCTTTAATATGCGTTTATTTAAAAATATTGTATAAGGATGTTTATCAGCAGTCTGGTTCCCATAGTACAGGCTGTGCCTAGTTTGGGATCAGACGACCGTGTGTGAGATATATTATTTAAAAAAAATATAAAATTAACATTACATAATATACTACTACTACAATCTACTTGGAAAAATATGTTTTTTTCATTGTATTTCTGTATTTCAAATTCTCGGCTATAATCTTATATAACAACGGGCTCAAGAAGATTTTTCCTTACTCAGTTGTGGCACATTACGTGCTCTACAGCTTTCTACATTTTCTTTTTTCTTGACCATAAATTCGTCTTAAGACAGTCGTCCTCAGAAGCGCTTCATAAATTCACGATTGCTTAAGTAACTTTACATGAAGAAAACTAAACGAAAATATACGTTGAGATGTTACTGTTTGCTTCTTATATCCCTGTTTTGTTTATAAAAGGTGTGTTTAATACTCGTAGTGAATATGGAAACTACAGTACGAGTGTAAGAGTAAAAATCACATCATCATCCCTCCGACGTTCACTGCTAAACGGAGGCCAAGGAGTGTGAACTATCCCGACATGCATTAGAGTTAAAAACACTTGAAATAACAATCATATTTCTAAAAAACAAGGCAATACTTACACTACCAGGAATCAGATACTGGAAAAGGACTATATTTTGAGAAAAGGTTAAACAATATAACACGTTACTCAATAACTTAAAAGAATGGGTAAGTGTGACTAATTTCATAAAAAATGAGTTACAGAATTTTATTGAAAAGAAAGATAATGATGGTGTAGATTATGTACGAAAAGCTGAAACATGAAAATTAAATAAAAATGAAAATAATAATAATCAAATTAAAAATAGCCACCAAACAAAATGACCTATTCATTTTGTTTTGGTGGCTATTTTTAATTTGGTTTTTGTGATGTACTGTATTCTACTAACCAACCCCTTTAGATGTTACATAATAAACAAGAAATAAACAGTTATATAGATTTAGTGTTATAGTATTTCGATATCTGGTATACAACAAGTGTAGAAACAGAATCAATAGGATTTGAAGTGCTTTCTGTGCAGCTAGTCCTAATTACGTTTTACATTAAGAAATCGTGTTTTATTCCCGCTTCATTAATCTCTTTCAACGAATCTGCTAGCTAATGTATTTTGTTTATTTATAATATATAGACTGTGAGCTGTTCCGCACTATAATTGGGCATACAAGATGGAATTTTCTTAAAACATAATTTAGTTTCGTATTTTCATCATCATCATTGATGTCTGTTTCAATGTATGTTTCTTCATATTTTATGCAATGTTGTACCCTTCACAAGGAAAATGGCCATGACCTATATGATATAAAACATTTTTCGTACCGAGGTAGAAAAAAAAAATTGCTCGGGCAAAGCGGGAAATAAATGAAAAAGTAGTTCATTTGTTTTTGCAGTTTTAGTCTGATCACTTGACCACTTGAGTAATCTCTAATGGATTTATTGCCTAAATTTACATGACGTTATATACTTTATCTCTAGATTAGTTTTTTTATATTACTTGTCCCATAGGACAAGTAATATATTTTTCACAGGCCCTACTCAGCAATCGATCTTGTCCTAACGCAAAAGGAAATTCAATGTCTTGAAAAACCTTTACACATCTTATTTAAATAAAATGCTGAACAAGTAGATTTCATTTAATATTTTAGGAATGGAGAAAATAGCTTTTTCTCTAGTAGCCTTAGGTTATAAATATCTCAAAATCGACTTCGAAGGATTTCCTGCTTAAAATTCACTAGAAAAACATGATTTTCCCATTCAAAGGGGAATAACTTTAGTGTAAATTTAATTTAATACTGTGAATTTCTATTCATCAACTTGAATTATTCACTATGGGAAGTATTAATTGTTTTGAATTATTCTCAATGATGGTTCTATTTGAATATTGTATCAAGAGACTGTCGATGGAATGTCGTCGGAATAGTCTTGGACTTTTCGTATTCTACTAACTACGAGTCACTTGTCATTGAACTGCCATTGATACAAAATTTAGTCGCTGTCTTTGTAATAGTTTGGAAATGGTTTGTTTGTAAGGAATGTTTTAAATTTGTAAGGAAATCTGGAAAATTAAATGTATTTAAATTTTTCAGATATCTATTTTTTTTATTAGGGTTTGCCAACAATTGTTTACATCAAAACAATTAACAATGTAATAAATACTTATAGGTAAACATCGCTTTTGTACAAATTATACATACATTAAAGCTTCAAGAATATTAGCAAAGGACGACAGTTCGACAGCAATGTTGATGTTGTTGATATCACCATTGAGCCATTGTCGCTAAATCGAAAGTCTATTGACACTGTGAATTTATGTTATTAGAATTCCGATATGTTGACCTATGTTAATGACATCACAATGACATCTCAATGAAATGACAGGGGCTTGTACGTTTACATAAAATAGCAGAATTGAGGCCCAAGTGCGCAGCGGTGAGGCTTCTTTATGCATTAAAGTATTTCTCTAGAGAGGGCAATGTGGACAGCTAAACAACCAGTCCCGGCAGGTTTTATTACTGCTTCAGAAAACCTGCCACCTGGATACCGACTGCAATCGTCGCCATGAAAATTAATCGCCTATAGTCTGCTTTTAATTCTAGAGACAAAACTGACATTACGTGGGTTGCTACTTTTTTTATATATTTTGGCGCTAATACAGACTTACTACTTTAAGGCCATATCAATAAAATACATACTTAAAAATTACTCAGTGATTCTTCTACAATTATTTATTATTGGTTTCTTTCTTTCTTTTCTCAATTAATTGAAAAAAAAAATGTTGTTAATAAGCTACGAATTAACAAATCGGCATCGTAGGTACATCACTGCACAAAAGAACTGGTATCATTATTTCTAAATTTGACATACCTACCTTTTTTTTTTTTTTTTTTTTTTTACCGTGCGGATATCCCCTCGGATACCACCTGTCGGTGGCATGTCGGACTCGAACCGACTGACCCCCCCCCCCCCCTCCCTGGAAGCGAGCGCGCTTCGTAACGCGCTCGCCGCCAATTTAGTCTCTAAGATTAAAAAAGTGACGCAGTACGTAGGTTAGTCGTTGCAATAGTAATATGGTATATCGAGGCTATATAAACCAATCGCAAACGCGCTGTGGATGTGGCATTCCATTGCTAACTATGCCATATTTCTTGTCCACTATGCGACTCCAGCCGCACTGTAGAAGACCTGCGGAGGGCAACGGTCAATGCAATGGCCGTGGGAATTTTATGCGAACAATAATAAGGGGTGTTCAACACAACGAAGAAGTAAAGAAAAAAATATATGCTTTTAATTATTATTCTTAATCAACATCATCAACAGTCTATACTAGTCCACTGCTGGACATAGGCCTCTCCTTAGAAAGGAGGTTTTGGCCTACTATACCACGCTGGCCAGACGGGCTGGTATAGGGTTTGTTTCAAGTTTTCCTTCTCTTTGCAGTGCTGTTGTCCTGCTTAGTTTGCTCCCTTAGTCGGCTCTTACGACACCCACGGGATGAATTGGGGTGGTGACAATTTGTATTCTTAATCCGTCACCACACGGTCTTATTCTTTATGTTGTAAACTTATTACAAAATTATAAAGTAAATATATACGAATAGGCAATAAAGAAATAAAGAGAGTTAAAAACTGGTTTTACAAATAAAAGTGTTGAGATTGAAAATGTAGAATCATTTATTGAAAAGAAAAAAAAAAAAATTGAATTGGGGCCAGACCAGAGAGATTTTGTAAATAATCAACTTCAACTTTTGTTTAATGATTTTGTAGTATAGTGTTGTCTAAAACCAAGTTTGAGCGTACAGTTACCAGCGTAGTGCTTTAAGCGGTCGCCATGCCACTTCGTCCTGCGTTGAGTGTTGTGTGTTCGATCCCCACCTGGGACTCCACTTTTTTGTGATCTAAATATTATTGCTCTAAGTCTGGGTGTTCTTTCTCCTCCGGGACACAGTATATAATAATATATTCCTAATTCGTGACTTGTCTTTAGAAATAAAACTAGGAGTTTAATTTAAAGCTTATACACATTGAATATACACAGTTAATTCAATTTCAAATCGTCGCGATATCTAAATAATGTATATTTTGTTGTCTTATTAAAACTATTAACGAGTGTATCTTATATTATTATTCTAATCTTTTAACATGAAAGAAAGCTCATGTAAAATATGATATAACTATGATCGGTAAAAGTAAAACCTCCTTTACGTTGTCCATTAAGCATAAAGATACACATAATCACTTTGACTTCAATCAAAAACTAACCGACAGATGTCATTAATAAAATAAGTATGTCATAGCTGAAATACTAGCCCATAGGTTATTTTGAGTTTTCCATTCTAGATTGACAAGTGTATCAAGCATCGCAAAAATTAAAAGCTAAATTTGGATGAAGGCTTTAATAGGCACGTCTTTCGATGCCTATTTTAGCGCAATGTTTCCTCTAAGGCAGCGAAGGCCGTTAACGCAGGCTGATATCGATAGATCGATCAGTCTACAATCTTCTCAAATCAGAAGAGATTTCAACGACCGGTAAGTACAATTTTGTGTCCGGCTTTGGCGTTTTTAGACTATAGTTCAGCAGACAGCAGTTTTTTGAATAACGTTGTTGGATAAATAGATAAAGTAAATAGCAGAGTAAATTTTTAGGGTCAGATCTTTCGCGGAGCCCCAAAGAACCGCTGTCCCCGTCTATTATTAGGCAGAGTTTTTATAGTGAAACTCTTTTGAGTTTTTATGTTTAAACTCTGAGCAATTGGGTTTGGTAGGATCTCGGAGAGAAAAGTGACACTTATAAGAACTATTATCACAGATTCAAAAATTTAATAGCTGTATTTCTGCAAAAAAATATATGTATATTTCGAAAAGTCCAATCTTTTGTGCACAGATTTCAGTTAAATTTTAATTTACTGTTAAATCTTGTATGTTTCAGACTTTCCGGGCAAGAAAACGAAATGAAGACCATGATTGAAAGTTTAATTAAATTAAAGATGAATAAAACTAAAACTCCAAGAAAAGTAAGTGACTCAGGACCAAACCAACTAAAGACTCTCATCGATTCTGAGAAAAATATATCAGTTGAAGATCTCATAATGCCAAAAACAACAGAAATAGGAGTTACAGCAACATCAAAAGATATAGATTGTACTTTCAAAGGAATAATCAAATACTCTTCTGGAGATCAATTAACAAAACAAAATGAAAAGATAGACCCCGTAGTTAAATCTAAGCAAAGAAAAATCATAACAAGAGAGTTGCAAAAAGGAAAATACCCCCGACCACTGAGCCAACACGATGACCATCATCAAATCAAAACCAGAATGTTGAGAGATCCTAAAATAATGCCTAAACAAGTAACGTTGTCAAATCGGTTAATAGCTCCAAAACGTCAGTTGAATTTTGATAACGAATTGATTTCCACTAAAACTTCCATGCGTCAACGGATAACAAATACTAAAAGTTTAAACGTTGACCGAGCTAAGTCTCAGAAAGTTATTAATAAGAAAATAAGGTGATTATATATCGAATCACAGTTTTTAAATAGAGAGTTCTTGCAGTCACCATAGGTTGGCAAAAAAGAAAGAAAAACGTAAACTCATCGTTAAATATATTTAAGAAGATGAACATTTAGGATTTATAACTTAAAATATTACATTATTTTAGACCTAGGAATATCCTTTTTCCGAAGAGGAAGAATAAATAGGATCTAATAACGAATAATGATTGCATCCAATGAGGCAACAGAAAATATACCGTACCTTTTCTATTTCTTAGAAATTTTCGTTTCACAATGTACCCTCGTATATAGTATACGTTGTTGTTGTTAATCTGTAAGCAAAGTGATGTTTGTTCTTATTCTACTATTTATCTACTGCATATAAGATTACCTCACGGCGATACGTTTTTTACCACTAGATTGCAAGCTGTAGCTAATTTAAAACCATCTTCCCCATTGTTTGATAAATCTAATATTATAAATTATGCATGATTGTTTTTTTTTTTTATTTACCTAATATTAAATATATATATATATATATACTAAATTACATTTAATAACTTAATCCAATATTTAGTACAGCTCATAAATAATCATCTCTTTAAATATAATGAAGTCTATTTCATGTACAAATAATGGAGCAAGAAAATGGACACAAAGAACACCCAGACTCAGAACAATTTTCAAATTTTCAAATTTGTGGATCACACAAAGTATCGTCCCATGTGGGGATCGGACCCACAACACTCAGCGCAGTAGAAAGCGGCTTGGCGACGGCTTAAACCACTACGTCAATGATGTGATGAAATCTAATTTCGATAGAAAACGACAGCAACGGTTAATTAATAGTTAATCATATGTAGAATTATGTATAAACTCTCAGATCTGCCTGTACAAATAGTACCTATTACAATATATTGTAAAATAACCTGGCAACACTGCGCTATAGTTTGAATTTTTCAAAGAAGTATTATTACTTGCCTATAGTTATTTATGTTTTGCATGCATGCGAAAGATGAAACAACAAAAAAGAATAATGAAAACCGGCCATAAATTTATTCCAGTGAGATATGATATTTGAATCGTCATCTCACAAACGAAAAATAATAGAATAATGTTATGATTGCTGCCTGTTTACTGTTTTCAACACATCATCAGCTTGTGGTGTCTTGGAAACCACCAAGTATACCAGTTGTCGGTTAGACGTCGAGCTAAACATGAATGAAGAGTTTTTCAAAACCACCAGGACAACAAAGGGCCTAGTGTGAGTTAATTTCACCTCAACTCACTCTCGCCGATGAGCGCGCTCGGCGTTGCGATTGGTGAATATTTCAGTGCGGGCCAATTACAGTGCGGGTCATCGTGACAAACGAATTGATGTGAAATTAACTAACACTAGGCCGACGATTCTGAAATACTATAAACCTCCGACAAACATTTCTCTGCTGAATGAGTTGCCAACAGAATGTTTCGTTTATGAGTTGTTCAACGACAGACCCTTTCAAATACGAACGATTTGCCGACAAAACGATTTATTCATGACCGAATCGACGACAGAGCCTTTCCACTATGAACGTTTCACTGACAGAACAATTCATTTATGAATCGACGACAGAATCTTGACCACCAAAAAATAATTTGTTGACAAAGCTTATTTAGGCATGGATTCAAGGCTTTGCCTAGTTTAGGATCAATCGGCCGTGTGTGAGCTGTGTGCACGCACGCACATCGCTCATGAATTAATTCGCATTAGAAGGCTAAATTAATTAATGGATAATGAACATAATTATATAAATGTATATTGAAAAACAATAAAAAAAGCCATTGAGATCAGGTACTAGAATCAAAAGAGAGAAGGTAGTTAGGGATCCAAAGATAGGAAACTCCTTAGGAAAATTATTTACAGACCTCGTCTCCGCCGTTAGTTCACCACCTCTACGCAACTTTGTTCTCAATATATATATATATTATATTATATTATATTAATTAATATTGAGTTTTGAATTCAATTTCGATTTTATTTCACCAAAGCGTATGTGAATAAATGAGGTGTATTTAATTTATTAGGCAGGCAATAAAAAGGCGACGTGCATCAAAATAAAAAACATAACGTCACCTGGAGAAGAACTCTCCTTGATTTTATTGGGCCATGTCAGAAATCAATCGCCGTATAAACATTTATAACTAATTATTTAAACTAAAAATAGCAAAAAAAGAGTAAAATTTCAGTACAATGCCCAATACAAGACGTAGGAGGTTCTCAGTACAAAATGATATCGCTAGCAGACCATCTTCAAAAAGTGAAAATGATCAATCCAGGTATGTGTTTACAATACTAAACAATTAAAAAGGTTTCTTATTTCTTGTTAACGGTAGTATTTTATGTAAATAGTCAGTGGACTATTTATTGGAAGTGTCCAATAAATTTATTTTTGAAACGTTTCTTTGCATACTTTATATACCTAAAGAGACCCTTAAATGATATATTTTTAATTATTCAATTTAAAATATATTGAAAACATTTACACATTTTTCATTTTGCAGCCATACTGAAATTGAAAACGAATTAAAGATATCTCTTACAAAACATTCTAAACATAAAAACAAAGTTCTCGCAAACACTTCAAAAAATACCCCAAGTTTAGAAATTGTCACTGAATGCGATAGTGGTGCATCGATTGTGCCAACTGAAATGAAAGATGCTCCAACAAGAGCAGATAAGGATATAACGGCAAGTTCTAGTAACATAGATTTGGAAAGTGTAATAGACAGCGAATTCATTTCTTCATCAGATAAATTAAGTAATACAGAGATTCCACCATTAGAACCTCAGAAAAGAAGAGACCCACGGCAAATGACTAGAGATAGAATACCTCTCAGACGAGACAAACATCCTCGCCAGCATAGAATCAAAGTCAGAAGTCCAAAACGTAGAATGATAGTCCTAGAACAAGCCAAACCCACAGGCGATTTTAATAATTTAAGTAACAATCAAAATACTGGGACAACTGCAATCAATTGGGATGAAGAGCTTGAATTGTTTAGTTCGGAAAATGTGACAAGTGTTGTCGAAACTGCAGAGGTAGAAAAGAGGCCGAGTACACACTCTTTAGATGACATGTGTCGAATATGCCACGGTGGGGATGGTTTAATTAATGAACTTGGTAGCTTAATTTCTGCATGTTCCTGTAGGGGTACAGTTGGCAGGGTCCACATTAAATGTTTGGAAAGATGGCTAACTGAATCAGGCAAGTCAAGATGCGAATTATGTGGAACCAGATATGCCACAAGGCGGGTTCACCGATATGGAGTGCCAAGAGCGCTTGTCATGTGGATTTTGAGTCAAAATGCTAAACAGGTAATGGTATTAATATTTCTTACATTTAAATATTTAGGAAAAAGTTTGCTAACTACCAACGAAGTGATTACACGCCGAATATTAAGAGTGAGTTCAAAATTATAGTATATTTTTAGGGTTCTGTACCTCAAAAGAAGAAAATGGAACCCTTATAGGATCACTTTGTTGTCTGTCTGTCTGTCCGTCAGTCGTCTGTTAAGACCCTTATCTCGGGAGGTGTCGACTTATGATTAAACATATGTCTCATGTCTACAGTCCCTTAAAGCTGTCAAAAAATCAAACTTCTAAGTTATAAAATGATGATGAAAATGATACCGATATAATTTATAGGGTACTTCCCATTGACCTAGAACTATGAAATTTGGCAATTTACATTGTCTTATACTACAAGTACAGAACAAATCTGAAAACTATACATTTGTAATTAAAACATAAAACATATAGTCTTTATTTAAAGTATGTAATCAAAAATTGAGGCACAATTTCACTTAGAAAACACAATAAATAATTATAGGTTTTGGAAACAGAATTTTGTGAAAGCTCGAAAAAAAACTGCTTGATTCCTGAACTATTTATAATATGTACCTACGAATTTGTACGGTACTCTTGATGGGCGACTCGCATTAAACCGGGCTTTTTCATGGAAATAATCACTTGGTTGTGTAAAATGCTACGTCTTCCCCACTTGCTTTTAATTTTCCCCTGCACATCGCTTTTATGTAAATCTAGTTTATTCTTAGTTAATATTCTTAATACCTATAAATAACTTGGTTTCGCTAACTTTTCATTATTCCAATTAAATCTATAAAGTATGTTTACAAGAACAATTATTAGAATTACGAGGTAGCTTAACGCTGACCCCGTAAAACTTTAAACTTCAAACCAGTAACTACAATTCGAGGTCTCGAGTTAGGCTATTAATTACTGCTATCGATCACGCTACACTGTTTATTTTCACTGATATTTCTTATAGAAGTACTCTCAAATTAACACAAGTTTAGTAGTTTCACTTAGTTAGTTACAACTAACTAACCACCTAGGTATTTCGGGAGTTCATTTTAACCTACTTTAATATTGTTGTATCAAGAGAAAACTATTTACAGTAACTATTACTAAAATTTGTCATTTTGAGCTGACCTGACGATGAAGCCAGGAGATGCCCCTAGGGTTAAGGCGTAAAAGTATGAGCTTTTCGTTTAGGCAAATTCAACAGATTGGATGTTGGCTAACGAATATCTGATTCTGATGATGAGTCAAGGAGGTGGATATCTAGTAATTTTTTTATTATCATCATCAACAGCCTTAAATAGTCCACTGCTGGACATAGGCCTCTCCTTAGAAAAGAGGTTTCGGCTCACTATACCACGCTAACCAGACGGGTTAGTATAGGAATTGTTTCAAGTTTTCATTTAATCGTAAAAAAGCGTGGGGTATTTATCAATATATTTTATAATATAATAACTTTACTTTTACTAATATCTATCAATAAAATACACACACATACAACAAGTGAGATCTAGCATTCCACGCATTTCACGATTAAATGATATCTCTTTTTGAATTAATAGAAAATGATTTTATTTTATTTTATTTTGTTCGGAATACCAACAGCACAAATAACGCAAGATAAAACATTACAATAAAGTAACAACGAAGCTATTCACCGGTAGTCGCAAATAGAATGGATTACTTTTTAGTTCAGATAGTTACAAAAGCGTGTTTTTTTTTAACTATAATTTATTTTAAATAATTAATTTGATTCGCCATTATAGCTATTTTTTACTAAAATTAGTTTAGACTACAGTGTAACTTAATACATATGTATCCTCATACTTAAACCTAGCCCAAAAACTTACTTATGCTTAGACGATTTTTGGTTCCTAGCTTATGGTGAAGTTTATACTCACTGATCCTAGAAAAGTAAACTGTCTCTTTGTTCTCTGTCAAACGAGCAATCGCTTATTTTAATTTAAAAAAAATAAGATTCTCTACACCTTCTATACTACCAAACGAAACATATTGCATCCTATTCTATAGTTAGAATAGGAATTGTTTTCTGAGATGAGAAAAAATCTGAGTTCTGAGAAACGATTTCTTCATTTATTACCAGTTGAAACAAAATATTTCATCTAAAAATTCTTATAATCGGTATCGTTGAGATTTAAATTTATTACGGGCAGCGAGACAATAATTTATGATAGTTAATACACATATTTGGCATGAATACGTCTTGGTATACGAAATGCTATGCTATGCTTTGGTATGCTATGCTAAGCTAAGAAGCTGGGAACTAATATTTCTCAACTGTTTGGTCTTTGCCTGTTTATAAACAGAAATTATTTTTGTTATTTCAATAGTGTTGTAAAATTATTTCTGACGACACTGTGGCAGTACTAAAGGTTCGTCCAACATGTCAACTCAATTTCCTAAACGAGGCTCCTCAGAAAAAGTGCTTAGCTCACAATACTTGCAATGCTACGAACTATGATTTGTGTTTTGAATAATTCAGTTATAAAGGTTCCTAAATATCATTATAACATAGGTGTATAATAATTCTCTTTATAATCATTTTACAGCTAATGGTAGACAGTCTAGGCATAATGCTGATGTCTCCCCTCGCCGTCCTCGCCGCGTGGCTATCAGGTCGAACTTTAGCTGGTCTAATGACCCAGGAGAGCCACGTAACTCCTTGGCCGCTAGCATCAACCTTCGTTTTGGCTTGCATGACACTTGTAAGTTATTTTTGGTACACATACAACTTTAGTTTTTGTGTACCTGAAAGTTATATTTAATTATATTTATAGTTTCAGTTATATTTTTACTTATTAGAGTAATTACTAAAAATATTACTAAAAATGCACGTTGTCAGAGCCACTGATCATTATTATTTATTCATTGTAACCTAGAGTGCAAAGAACGACTTAATTACACCTTGCCATAAAAATAATTCTTGGATTATAAAATGCAAAATAATTTAGTTGTAAACACTACCGTTGTTATAAAACCTGTAAGCTTCTACATATATCAAGTATTAAGCTGAAAATTACCATGAGAAAATTTTGTGACTGTCTCAAGGCTGATTGTATTTTAAATTGTATTTTTAAATAATTATTTTGTCATCAGGTTTGTTACTACTGTTGGATAGTATCGGCTGCTACTCGCCACGCACTCGGTTGGTGGATCTGGTATCGATCTCAGTACGAAGTCAGACTACAACTACAAGAAAACGAAGAGTAATTTTCAAAGTGACTAAATAAATATTAGAATTGTAAATCATAGTACGCTATTTTATATTTCTTTACAGATTGCAGTGTTTTGTAAAAACTGTTCTCCCTTCGCATCTTTAGCCCTAAATTGCCTGTTATATACATTTATATATTGACATAAGGAAATAACTGTAATATATAATGAAATGGGAGATGTTAATTTAATATTTTAATGTAAAACTGGCAAAAGTTACGTAAAAACGAAAACATTATCACTAGTAGTATTTTAGTCCAATTTCCGATATTCGTAATCCGAATGCTTGTTTCAAACTCGACCTGTAGTCTAAGAACATAAGAAAATAAACTTTAAGCAGCTTTGATTTTTTTTATTTCACACTAGTCGTTCCCTCAGTTTCATCTGTATTTACGATAGTTGATCCTCTCCTAAGGGTCGAAATGTGATGTTTTTGTAGCCTATTTTATTGCTTTATAAACACTATCCAATACCAAAACGAAATTCAAATGTAACCGACGAGGAGTCCCGTCGTGTCGAGTCAAAGAATTCGTCGCTTGCGCAGAATACGACGCGACATGACGCGAAGCAAGCGATCAAAACAACGACATATCCTGCTAGCGGCCTAAGTGGCACTCTGCGGCATTGCGCGATGATGTAGTTTTGTGAGCGACTACAACACGTTAACTACGAATTTTTAGATTTGATTACTTAGAATTTTTGGAATTGGAAGATTATTGTGGTCTCTTGGCTATGTTGGTGAACTTTCAAGCAAATTACACTGTACTTCCTTATGTTTCGAAAAGTAATTACCAAAATTCTCTTAATAATATTACTGTACACTGTGATCAAAATCACGTGGGATTTTGTCACTTGTAGCACGACGCACGAAACACGACGATTGTAAATTGAATACGCTCTATGTATTGAACATAGAGCCAAATGTCACTTTTGTCTTTGTTTCTTATGTGTCTTAAAGTATTGTTTTAGTTACTGTAAGCACTTTACAAGCCATGTACTAAAAAACATTTTTCACACTTATGTTTAAACTGTTAGAAATATGGCAAGTAACAGACAATAAGAGAGTCTGTCCACAACAGTTTGATGGTCCTTAATCAAAAAGTACTACACTGAAAAAGCTCTTTTGTCAAACCATTACCGCTTCGTGTCGCTTTAATGGACCAAAGAAACGCCAAACAATTCAAAAATTTAATTGATTTTTAAGCTATTGCATAGCTTTTATCGCGGGCCTTGAGCGTGGAGACCGAATCCAGGAATTCCGTAACGAAAATAACCTAACACCTCCCACTCCGACCGGCACAGCGGTGATACTTTTTAGTTTTGCCATCTATCGATGAATAGCAGAACTTTTTTTAAGGTAGGGTGTTCCTTTGACATGACCAGTTTTATTTTTATTAATGTAATAACATCCACATACAATACCCCCCCCCCAAAATTTTATAATTGCATTGAGGTCCCTTCAAAATACCTCTCCCTCACCCTTCAACTTTTGTCATTTTTCCCCCCTTTGATTTTCTCGGTTCCTGGAGCACTTGGACACCCCATGTTTGGGTTCGTCTGAACCGGGAAAAGGAGACGAACAATCTGGTCCCTACAGATTTTTTAGCTGGTACCCGCGACTTTGTTCGTGTGGAATTTGAAAACGCTGCCTTACTGGGTTCGATTCCTGGCTGGATAAATTTCTATAGGGTTTTCCTGAGATAATTATTTAATACTAAGTTTATTAATACTAAGTTGATAAAAAATGCTTCTTCTTAGCGTGTCGATGACAATTCAAATTGAGTCGGCCCAAAATTTGGCGACGAGTTTGGCACTTTCAGTAGCCTCCATCAGTTCCTGTGATGTGCAAGTAACAGGACAGGCTGGACACGATATCAAGTGCCCCATAGTTTGTGGGGCAAGACCACATTTACACTCCAGGGCAGAGTCATCTATGAATCTCCACCTGAACAGGTTTTCTTTGCTTCGGCCTACCTGTGTCCGGAGTCTGTTTAGAGACTTCCAGGTCAGCCATGGCAACTCGTGTCCAGGTGGAAGATTTTCGGCAAGTGGCACAAATGGGTTGGGTAAGGAAACGCTATCTTGCCACAACTTAAGTCTTTCCTTAGAGCGTTCACCAGTGAGCGGGGGTACGCACTTTAAAAAACTGTTGCGGCTTTTCAGCCTTTGCGGTACTATGATGTTATTGTGTAGGGGGTGTCTAGCGTCGGAGACCATTTTGGCTCTTTCGCTAGAGCTCGCCACCGCTCTGCGAACTACTGGTGGCGCTATGCCTGCCAGTGGATACAGCATCTGTACCGGGGTCGGCTTGAGGCAGCCAGTGATTATCCGGCACGTTTCATTCAGTGCTGTGTCCACTAACTTTGCATGGGCTGAACGACCCCACACGGGACATGCGAATTCACCCGCAGAGAAAGATAGCGCCAACCCAGTAGTCCGCATGACGTCAGGCGAAGCACCCCACTTTGAAGAGACTAGTCGCCGCAAATTTACATACTGCGCTGATGTAACTATTGGTCGCGGATCTATCACTAACACTCGTAGATGTGATTGGTGGAATGATAGATTAGCCGAACTACGTAGAAGCTACCGGAAAGCTCGTAGAAAATTAAACACTATTAAAAAACATAACGTAACAGGAGATTTGTACAACATTGCTCTCATTGCTCTTAGAGTTGCCAGGTCCCACTACAGAGCTGCTGTGGAAAAATCCAAGAGAAACTTAATTCAGAAACTTGTTAATAAACTCGATAGAGAGGGCCCGTGGTCACCTTTGTATCACGAATTTAAGGCAAATAGATCAATCGACCACGCATACATACAGAACATCAAAATTAATAACAGATATACCACAGGAGTAGAACAAACAGCAGAATATCTTTTAGACTCACTCGTACCTGACGATCGACCGGAAAACGACACTGATCATCACCGACAGATCAGGCAGTGGGCCATCGAACCACCACTGTCTCCAATGTCTGATTTACCATCTTCAGACGAATTTCTCGGTATCATTAGATCCTTGCCGCTAAACAAGGCTTCGGGTGATGATAAAATATCTAACAAAATGATAAAAGAAGCTTGTAAACTTTCGGGTGACACGATTTTCACTGTCTTTAAACGTTGCATTGCTGAAGGAATATTTCCTCGTATATGGCGGTGCGGTAATATTCGTATAATACCAAAAAGTGGCGACAAGCCACCGGATGATCCTAAATCCTACCGACCAATCACATTGTTACCATCGTTAGGAAAGCTTTTAGAACGTCTTGTAGTGCCCCGGCTTCTGCCAGGTGGAGTCAAATTTCATGATAGACAATTTGGATTTACGTTGGGTAAATCGACAACTGACGCTGTTATATCGGTTAGAAAGTTTGTCACAGAGTCAAAATTTCAATACGTGCTGGCTATTTTCTTAGATATATCTGGCGCCTTCGACAACGCATGGTGGCCCATGCTGTTGCTGAAATTAAAATCACGGGGGTGTTTTAAAAATATTTATTCCCTTATCTCTTCGTACTTTTCACAAGGTACAACTAAACTAAGACTTGGTCATCATTCTGTGTCGAAGGCGCTTACAATGGGATGTCCTCAGGGATCGGTGCTAGGTCCATACTTGTGGAATATCGGCTTCGACGATTTTCTTACGATACCAATACCATCCGGATGTACTCTGAACGCGTATGCTGATGACGGCTTATTACTGGTGGAATCTGATACTAGGGCGGGGCTTGAGAGATTAGCCAATAGATGTTTGAACTTGATATCTCAATGGGGTGAACGTAATCGCTTAACTTTTGCACCCAACAAAACCTTCCAGTTACTTTTAAAAGGTAACCTCAAATCACCGCCGAGCATTAGATTTGACAATGTTACTGTAAAAAATAAAACCACAGTGTGTTATCTAGGCTTAGTTTTAGAAAGAAACTTTTCATTTATCGAACATATTAAAATAGTTAATGAAAAGTCTAAAAAGAGTTTCTGTGCATTGACAAGGATATCAACTGCGACATGGGGTCTATCATTTAATACATTAAAGATCATATACGGAGCTACTTATTTAGGTTCTATGTGCTATGGTGCACCTGTATGGGCCGATAGGGCGACCGTAGGCGCTGTCCGTCGCAAACTGTTACAAGGCCAACGACTGGCACTGATATTTTTGTGCAAGGCATATAGGACGGTTAGCACTGAGGCTTTGCCGGTGTTGGCAGGTGTCCTTCCGGTCGATCTCGAGGTGCAGAGACGTGCAGCCATGTACTATTCAAGACAAAACATGGAATGCGATTTCTTGGGCGCGCGGGATCGCGGTAAAATTACAAGATTGCTTCAACAGCAGTCCGATGTCTATAATGACCTCATAGACGAATGGCAGCAACGCTGGGACGAATCATCCAAGGGGCGCCATCTTTACCAATTTTTTCCATCTGTTCGCGAACGGTTGTCGAGGACATGGCTTGAGGTGGATCACTGTGTCGCTCAATTTCTTACGGGTCATGGTAACTTTAAGAGCAAGTTGTATTCATTTAAATTAGTCGAGTCACCATTGTGTCAATGCTCAACACCTAACTCTCATTATGAACAGTCTGCTCATCATATCCTCTGGGAATGTAGTCTTTGGTATAATGAACGTAATATAATGCTGAATAGCTTGCAGGTGACATCTGGGGCGGTATACTATGGGGATCTTGTGTCAACTAGGGTGAATTTCCGTGCGTTTAGGCGATTCTGCCATACATATTATAGAAATCAAATATAGCTCATGTCGGACCCGTAATATTTTGTGGCCGTGGTGCTTCCCTGTTTAAAAGGGTGTATGCCTATTTCACTTCATTTTGTCTCCCGCTTTGCTAAGGAGGGAAGTGGATTTACTGTATTTCCAACTCCTCCAATTTTCTTCTGATTAATTTCGTTGCGGGTTCCAAGACAGTTTAATTTCTTCCTGGGACTTCCCGAGTGTCATAACTCGGTGTGTTCGTGGGTCACTGCTGTGGATC